CCTCTTACAACACGCAAGTCAATAAGAAATTTTCCCATTTCGACCCGCACTTCCACGCAAGTCAATGGGGTTTCGCCTTTCAGCGGGGCTCCGGGTCCGCCCTCGTCCGTGTCTCGGGCAGGGACAGCCGGGTTTCGATGGTGGACCAGTATTCTTCGGGGGATAACCAGGCCATCGAGACCCCAAGTCCAGCCTCGGCCGTGTCTCTGGCATGGGACAGCCGAGAATCGATGGAGAACCGGTATTCTTCGGGGGACAACCAAGCCATCGAGACTCCAAGTCCAGCCTCGGCCCTGTCTCTGGCATGGGACAGCCAAGAATCGATGGAGAACCGGTATTCTTTGGGGGATAACCAGCCATCGAGACCCCAAGTCCACCCTCGTCCGTGTCTCGGGCAGGGACAGCCGGGTTTCGATGGTGGACCAGTATTCTTCGGGGGATAACCAGGCCATCGAGACCCAAGTCCAGCCTCGGCCGTGTCTCTGGCATGGGACAGCCGAGAATCGATGGAGAACCGGTATTCTTCGGGGGACAACCAAGCCATCGAGACTCCAAGTCCACCCTCGGCCCTGTCTCTGGCATGGGACAGCCAAGAATCGATGGAGAACCGGTATTCTTTGGGGGGATAACCAAGCCATCGAGACTCCAAGTCCACCCTCGGCCGTGTCTCTGGCAGGGGACAGCCGGGTTTCGATGGTGGACCAGTATTCTTCGGGGGATAACCAGGCCATCGAGACCCCAAGTCCAGCCTCGGCCGTGTCTCTGGCATGGGACAGCCGAAAATCGATGGAGAACCGGTATTCTTTGGGGGATAACCAAGCCATCGAGACTCCAAGTCCACCCTCGGCCGTGTCTCTGGCAGGGGACAGCCGAGAATCGATGGAGAACCGGTATTCTTCGGGGGACAACCAAGCCATCAAAACCCCAAGTCCAGCCTCGGCCGTGTCTCTGGCATGGGACAGCCGAGAAGCGATGGAGAACCAGTATTCTTTGGGGGATAACCAAGCCATCGAGACTCCAAGTCCACCCTCGGCCGTGTCTCTGGCAGGGGACAGCCGAGAATCGATGGAGAACCAGTATTCTTTGGGGGATAACCAAGCCATCGAGACTCCAAGTCCACCCTCGGCCGTGTCTCTGGCAGGGGACAGCCGAGAATCGATGGAGAACCGGTATTCTTCGGGGGATAACCAGGCCATCGAGACCCCAAGTCCAGCCTCGGCCGTGTCTCTGGCATGGGACAGCCGAGAATCGATGGAGAACCGGT